CATACATGATAAATAAATAGTTATTTTAATCAATATATTTTTATTTTAATCCACAAGTCCAGATGAATTTGAGTATATTGTCTTTACAGGCTGCGGAGGTACACTTGCGCAGTGAAAACACATCAATTCTGAAAAATGTTGTATAAGCCTAAAAACTAACTAGCACACAACAATAAAATATTAGTTAAACTTTCACCCCCATATTAATAAATGAAGACTACGCTAGGATTAGTTGCTACATGTTTTGTCTCAGTCTATTGAAAGACAAATGACGTTCGCATGACATGAACAAAACACGGCGTAACTAGTCTAAGCTTATTCCTTGTTTATTAATAAGGGGGTTAATGTATGAACGTTCTTTGATACTACTTATGCCTTACATTTATAAAGCTGCAGTTGATGAAGCTTCGGAGTCGTCGAAATACCTCAGACGACGCTGGGAATGTTAATAAAGGGGCGTTACGTCGCGAGTTCACAAATCTTTAGACCGGGCGGTCTCTCAAGCACCCACGCATCATGAATGTTTACATGCCCCCCTAATGACTATGTAAGAGAAAGTATTTATCATCAAATCTTAATATGTATTCCAAAAGATCATGCAAGCCAACGAGTAGATATTTTTATAAACACTGGGTTCAAATATACCATGGTCACGCTTTACAGAACCACAATGCAATGGTTGCCGAGAGCCACTTGACATTATAAATGATCACCTCAAAACTACGTAAGACTTCTTAATTTTCTATGACCAGCCTTAAATAAGTACAGTTAGTTTTAGGCAATCAATCGAAAAGTCAAAATGACATTCAGAAAACCCAGTAGGAGGGAACACATTGATGTTACATGTGATATGCGTTTAGTTTTAGTAGAAACCATGCACCAAGAATAACGAAATCAAGAAATCGTTCATATTAGAAACGATATTTCGCTTCCTTACCGGTTATCAAAAATAAGAAAGACAGATTCACAAATCACTATTCGCCAGTGATTTATTGTCACAGGTTTTGCGTTTTACGACTAAATATGTCTATTTGTGTGCATCAATGACCTTCTATAGAAGGACATTGGTGTCGTTCATTAATTTTTTTTCTAAGTATTTTGACACTGTTTTGACTCTTGTTTCCTGAATTAAATAAATAGTAAAAAAAATATTTTGACATTTTGACATATCTTAAAGCAGGACGAAGTTGGTGCAAGTAGCCAGTCTAATTAACATAGTAACGAAGGGGCGGGTCAGCCGGTAACTCACGCCCTACAAAATAAATAATCCGAGCCTGGAATGCGGCGGGATAATGGACCGCGGCTTCTGCCAACCACTCCGGTGGAACACCTATGTGGAATTAAAGGATTCAACTGTTTAAGAATAGTTTAACTGTTTCATTTGTTAAACGTATTGAAAACCATTGTAGACAACGAAACGTTCACATTGATTTTTCATATATTTTGAAGCAGAGTATGTAGCTTTGGAAATTTCAATTTGGAACATAATAGTTTTACTTAATACCTATCGCAAAATCACAAAATTATCAAAATTGAAATTATAGATTAATAATAATGATTTAGGTAAATAAATATTATTCGGGTACACATCCAATTAGGATGACCAGTTCTGTTTTTAACACTGACCTTCATCTGATGAATATCAAAGTCGAACCTTTGGATGACCACGGCACCTCTTAACGTTTATATAATCCTCTAATTTTCGCTGGCCGACCAATTAACTGGCGAAATAAATCCCATAAATAAATAAGGAATTTTAAGTGGCCCAGGGTTACCGCCCATTATTCCGGATTTATATCGATCACCTTCGCTTTTGTATTTGTATTGCTCATGCATCATTATCAAAGTTCTGTTGCTTTAAAAGAAAAGAGCGTCCAAATTTCTTCTTTCTTTTAAATTAATAAAATGCTACGCTGCTTCAATCATTCAATGATAGCGCAGAATAAACTAAGATACAATAAACATGATTTTACTACCTACCTACTACTTGTAAGAAGATTTAATATAGAAACATATTCCCTGAATACTATCTGCGGGAAAGACGACAAAACTCGTTTACTCCACATCTACGTAATTGAAGAGACGAGTCAAGTAGGTCATATACACGGAATACATAGGAAAAAAAATTTGTAGTACATCACATATCGATGATAATGATACAGATCTTGCTATTCTGGATAACAAATACCCAAGCAAAGCACCGAGAGGGTAAATACATAACAGAATTATCCCAGACGTTAAAATCTAATAAGTATTCCCACTTACGTTCGTTCTATCTACATGGAGATCATTATCATACTGGGACACAGGCATTTCCTACGTATTATGGAGATTGAGCCATGATCTATCACGCGGGCCATTTTTTGGTCGCAGATGACCTTTACAGTGCGAATTGGTGGTTATATACGAATATTTAAATTATTGTGTAAGTAACACTATGGATCTTGAATCCTAGCCTTAAATAAATTGTTTTTTTTTACTATTGTAAGTACTTTTGTAGTTCTAAATTATGACATTAACATAATACAATTCAATTAAATAAGTAAAGACATGGTGTATAAATTGCTGGTTGTATTTATTGGATCGTCTCGGAGGTCGTGCGTGCGGTGGGTGGCATCGGCATTTGTCACTGCGCCCGCGCAGACGATGCGTGTGTACTCATTCTATGCATGCGGTGCACACTCGCACTCGCACTCGTTCAAAACAGGTATAATAAAATATTATACTGATGGACTGTTCAGGGATATCATGGCATTAAGTATACGATTTGGCAGACTAAAACATTATATTGTTAGACTATTCAAAAGGGCTATTATTCCATTAGGTACAGTATTTGGCCGACTAAAATATTATATTCAAAAGGGCTATCGTTATATTAGGTACGCTATTTGGCAGTTTAAAACATTACATAATTATAATTATATTATATAATTACTGTTAATAAAGACATAAAATAATATATTATTCTTATTATTGTGATGATTCCATAATATTTACTCAAGCAACTCAATCTTTGTAATTTAATTAAACCAATCATGTTGATAATACATATACATACATAATAACTAAATTAGTAATGACAAGCAAAATAAGGGAACTACATTTGTAGAATAAAATGATACCTCTTGCTTGCTTGCTTTTAGACATTTGCGAGAGCTTCGTTGGTATAAGTAGTTACTTAGAAACTCTGGAACAAGTCAAGATTTCAGCCCCCAAGCTCCAACATCTCTTAACATATTAATTTATTTTGGATTTTTTTCTTTTATAAAATTTTGTTGTAATGTTTCACTTCCCAATATTATGTTCACAAGCATTAGCCGTGAATGTAATGGACGTATTTCTCATCGTGATGATATTATGGGACATATTCCAGACTAAGCGTTAAAGTGTCAACCAAAGGGCGCTGGAGCAAATCTCGGAATACCATGATTAAGGAGACTGTCTAGACTGCCTGATAAATCTGTAATTTAGATAGGAATCGACCTTAGAGTGATCAGAACGTATTATCATTACTACTGCCAACAGTAGCAACATGGAGACTCCCTTGTCGCCCAATTAAGCAACTGACTGGCAACAAGCAACAATTATTAAGCAATAAAAAATAAATGTTGAGATATCGATGTGCCATCCGAAGAGAAATTACGAGGTAATACGCATCATTTATAATAATTAAAGTCACACAGCGGCCAAAAAAAAAGACTTCTACTCATGCCATAATTTCTTATAAAAAGGTTCGTTCTAATTACTCCAATTCCATCAGGAAGATTGCGTTCTAATATAGATGAAGTCCAGACGTGAAGATACCGTATCCTCTCCTTCTTGGATGCCTGTCACAACGTAGAGCTCAGAGGCCACTATCGCAACGCGCATCAAGAAGCCGATGCAAATGCACTTTTTGCAGCTACCAATTGAGCAGAAGAACCGAAGACATCGCTGGTGGCCGGCCGTATGTAGGAAATGTGAAGTTTGGCTAACAGCGCATTCACCTGAGGTCTTTGTGTTGCTACGAAAACAATTCTGAATACATACTTATTTAACGTAGGAAGCGGAAGGAACATTGTATAATAAACTTTTCTTGCTTAATTCTATTAGTTATAGAACATATTGATAAGTTTTTGTTAGTCCAACACCCTAATGAAACATGCTGAAACTACATATACGAAGTTAAATTAAGTAAAATACCCGCAACTAAGAATGAAAGTGAACTAATTCAAACATTTCAGTACCTACTGATTTTGCTAAAAATTTACCTTAAAAAGCACACTACAGCCATGTACGAAAAAACCAAGTCAACTATTTTTACTTCGGTTACTTTTATTTTAAAAGGAAGGGTGCGACATTAATGTTAGATATTGTATTTAGCTATTTTAATAATGTTTACAATCTTCACGTTGTGGAAAATCGTAATAAATAAATTATTAGAGTTACTTAAAATAAATAATATAACACAGTAAACTCTTTGATCGTATCTATGATGAAAATGCTGACAAGAATTATGTAAGAGTGTGTCTAGTAGACGACTGTCTGCATGAATTTAATTAAATGTTGACGTTAACTCTTTGAAATGAAAAGAAAAGAATGATGCGTGTCCCGTCCGTCGCAGATACAATGGCTGTTCTAATAAATGTCACTAATTGTATGAACCACAACACGGGTCCTGAACACAACTAGTTTACATATTATAATATTCAAAATTGCTCTCGACGACTGAGTCATCCTCCGTCAGTGGTTTTATATTGAATTTTATTTAAGGTGACTGTCGCTGCAGACGACATTTTCGATTTAATGTACACAAAATTAGAACTATTTATTATTTGACGACCTCCGTGGCCGAGTGGTTTGTACGCCGGGTTTCATGGCGTCGCCGACTCGAGAGGTCCCGGGTTCAAATCCCGGTGGGGGCAGATATTTGTGTGATGAACTCGAGCATTTGTACTCCAGTCATGGATGTTTAAATATGTATTTCTATATAAATACACTTGTATATGTAAAGTATGTGTATTCTATCCGTTACCCTAGTATCCCATAACACAAGCCTTATAGTGCTTACTTTGGGGCTAGGCTAATTGGTGTGAGTGTTGGAAATATTTATTTATTTATTTGAAACTGTTTTTATTTTTCTATAAAGTACTTATTCTATCTTTTATTATTCAGCACAGGAAGGCTTTACAAAATGTCCAAAAAAAATAATTATGTTTTTTTTTGTTAAAATTGTCTACTTTTGTTTAATAAGTTTATAATACTTTTGACGGATTCACATTTGCCTCTACACAATTGAAGAAGAAAAAAGAAAAAATAATAAAGTTGAGAAGGTATATTGAGTTTTATATTTATTGAAATTCAAACAATTTATACTTCAGATAGATATAAAATCGCATCTATGTACTAGTTTAAACTAACGTCTCAAGATATTATTATAAAAGCGAACTGTCTTCGACTTATCAAATTTATTCAAGCAATTTTCAGTAACTCACTGTGTTTTATCGCGTGACTGCGACTACTCTACGAATACAAATATATCATATTTTTATCTGTGGCTTTTCCAACAGCACCGATCCTTAACCCATATTTTTTGCGCGCAGCGGCGGCGGCGCGGGCGCAGCGACACGACGATAAATTAGATGCGTTGAAGTGTTTGTGTTGTGGCGTCTTGCGCGCTGTCGGCGCGCGCACATACATTAGCGCACAATACCGCGGGGGGCGCCATTGTGTCCTCACATCACACTCGTACAACTGCACCCTCCTCCTCCCCCTCGCGGGATGACCCCACACGCCCCTAATAAAGGATTCATCGAGACCTGTAATTAGGCGATTCAAATCGATTTTAATTGAATAAATAAGTACACTTACTTATATCAACAGTTTATATTACATTGTACACTAATATTATTTATTGAATTCACTTAAACCGAAAAGAAAATGAAATAATTTAGTATGTGCTGTGTCAATACTCCTTTCATTATACTTTATAGTCGACAAAAAATAAAAAATATTCGCGATAAACAAAATCTGTTTTTTAGTTTTACTAAGCATGGCTAAGAGATACCCCCTCCTAATTGTCTCTTCGAAAGCTATTTTATAAGATGGTGAAAGGTGAAAATTTCTTATAATTTTCTCTAAATATAGAGATAGAGAGCATGGACATTGCTCATCAAATATAAAAAAAAATGAATTATATAAGGGGTCATCCATAAATTACGTCACACGAATTTCATGTCTTTTTTGCCCCTCCCCCCGTCCTTGTCACAGCTGGTCACATTTGTAAGACTCCCCCCCTCCCTAGTGTGACGTCACATATTTTGCAAATTTACATTTAGAAATCATTGAATGAAAACAGCGGTTCTGTAATCAGTTTTATTTCCATTTAAATTGTTTTTTCATTATTATTATAATCAAATCAAACAATTGACAAAACAAAAAAAAAAACGATTAATTATATTTATTAAAGAAAGTACCGAACAAAAAGTGATTGACTATGTTAATTAAAGAAATTAACAAAACATAAAATATTAATAGCATTATAATTAAATTAAAGATACAAACTTAATAATCTTGAGTCCATGGACATTGATCCCACTCCTTTAAATTATTTTTAACTGGCATAGCACCACTTTGTTCTCGTTTGGGTTGTTAATGCTTTCGTAAAGTAATAGTTTCAACACTTAGATTTTAATATATTTTGAAATGTGACGTCACGAAATTTAGGACCCCTCCCACCCCTTGTCACACGATGTCACATTTCGTCGACCCCCTCCCTACCCCTTAAAGTGTGACGTAATTTATGGATGGCCCCTAAAATCAATTAAATTTTACAACGTTTTAGTTATAATAATACCACAATCCGCGGAAGTAGATACCGATTGGTTTTACGCGAGCCTATTTACATTTAATAATATAAAAAATCATTTGTATCTAAGTCTATCTAACACTTATGTATAAACGTCACTCAGGTCGTTGACTGAAAGAATAAAAAAAAAGTATTAGAATTGATTGTTTTATATTGTCGGAGGCTAAACAAGTTCAGTTGCGTGCACGCAGCGTTCCCTTTTAACTTCGATGATCGGTACAGTACTATTATCGCAGGGCAAAATAATTTGGGGTTTTACGGTTAAAGGCCGGGATAGCGGCAGGTGCGATGCAAGGGCTGCACGCTACCTAACACACGCCACAGCGAATGCCGAGAGACCTATTTTTGAATCGCCCGTTTGAAATTGCGTATGCGAATTAAGTCACACTCGACTCCTATTTCCTAATCTAACCTCACACACGTGCACGACACACCACGCCTAAACAAACAGGAAGAGTTATTTTGAAATCACTCGTTTGAAATTGCATCTCCGTACGCGACTTCAGGCACACTCGATTCCTACGTCGCATGACGGTCTTATGCTGCATTTTCTGATCGTTCGCCTCGGTGATGCAAGCATAATAAGAAATGTTGAATATCATAAAGAAAAAAGCTATGTCTTCGCAATGCACCCTGGACTTATTCTGATAGAATAAAGAGTAACTGCTAAATTACGTTTGATTTTTGGACGTTTACGCCATCAATCGTTTGGAGCGTTCGCCTCAATGCATTTTTAGCAGCTCAGCAATCGTTGCAGTCGAGTGAATCAGACCTACTGAATTTCTATCGAACGAAAAGTATAACACAAGCGCTCTATGGAAGACGAACGATTCAAAAATAGGTCCCAGGGCTTCATCACGGATTTCTTTATCATCAATCTTCTATTAGTCAGACAGAACATTTATTGTATTAAATGAAATGTAGGTACTGAAAGAGTCGTGGTCGGTTTCAACCTCAACTCATGAACGCAGACGTGACGTGTTATCGATTAACAGTTAGCAGCCGCAGATTGGTATCCGTAGCAAATTTGTCAGGCTTTAAATAAATTTGCGACGTGATTTAAAATACTTACATTGAACACTTTCTGATAAAGCCCTGTTCTAGTAAAGCATAGAAAGTTATTGAAATTTTAATAAGCGACTTCACTATTCTGTGGACATCACAAAAAAATAACAAGGAATGCAGGTACGAAAACAAACAACTTCCCTTCGACAATAATAAAATAAATCCCTTTATTACATCAGTGACCGCAAATCAGATAAACAAATACATAAATAGTATGTATGTATATATTTTACCATAGCTTATGATAAGCTAATACTTACAATAGTGAATAAAACAATTCGTGTCTTTAGTATTATGTATAGTGAAATATAATAATAATTACCTATTACTAAAGTAAAAAACACTCAGATGTCTTAATGAAATCAAAGGGAAGTAGAATTAATGGTTGTCAAATGCACGCAACGTGAAGAGTATAAATCTATTCAAGTCGGACGCCGATAAAAAGGTTTCACCCCAAGCTGTGCGTCACAAAAGCAACCATAGTATACGTGGTAGGCTTATTTTTAAAAGAATCTTAACTTAAGCACTACTCAAATAGTCGCAATAACGCAAGTTAAAACCCAAATTGTCATACCTATTCTGATTACATAAATTGGCAGTCCTTCAAATAACACAATTTAATATATTCGTTTCTTAGGTTCTCACGCACATCATTCACACACAATTTAATATTTATTTATTAATTAACATTTAATAAATGTCACAAACACTGGAAACTACACTTTTTAAATATATGATTGTCATGGTTGATAATTATGCTAAAGTAATTTAGTAAGATAAAAAAATATATGTTGCCTTTATTTTAGAAACTGTGGTTTTCAGAGAGTAATAAACCTAATAAAATTATTTATTACGTAAATGAAATGACCACAAACTGTTAATATTTCGTTTTCCCGTTAAATAAGTCGAGGTTATTTTATTGAGAATATTGTCTGCTTACGTCACAGATTATATAGGTATATTTACCTGCGTCAATGCGGTCATCGTGGCTTATGCTTAAATGTATAGTAATATTTTGCGGCACTCACTATCTCAAGGGAAACCTATTAACTTATTTTAGTCGAGGTAATAAGGATAACTTTTATTAATAACAAAGAGCGCATTTCAGTCTGAATTCTGTATTCGTGATATACTTGTAATGATCGAATAAGTAATTTCTTCATTTATTAAAAGAAGCTCAATAACAGATTTGTAGTGATTCTATTTATATGCACACAAAAAAAAACAAAGTTAAAATGCTTATTTAATTCTAGGTTATACGTACCTATATCAGTACTTTATATTTATAAATAAAAACGTAAAAATTTCACAACAACTTACTGAACTCGGCGCTTGGACAGTTAATTGTCACTGTCAAAATGAGCTCATTTTGACTATCGTCAAATGGTGCAACCCCTGTTTTACCCGGTACTTTAACTGAACAGTAAAAGTTAAAGTAAGTTGGGGTAACTCACGTTGAACATCATATTCCAGACTTCTTTGTCATATTTTCATAAACTGTTCATATGCTAAAAAAACGAATACCTACTAAGTAAGTATATACAGGCAAGCAAGCTGTTACATACAAAAAATAGCTTTTTTCGAGACCACCTGGTACGCCACCCGCGCCACCGCGGCCCCACAAAAACCCCGATAGAAAAAAACGTCATAATATTTGAATATTATTACAAAAAACAATTAAGGGTGCCGCGCATCACCTGTCGCGGGCACGAGATCCACATTTGCATAGAAACTAAATTTCATAATAAGGATGCGGCTACACGCGACGGGATGGAACTATAATCTTCACTTCTAAGATTTCGACACTGTCCAAAATTTATTACACCACTTTAAAGTTTGTTACACTACTTTCTATCCGACTACAATAATGTATTGAATATTATGTAACAGATAACAGGGGATTTAAGAAATATATTTTTTGTATTTAATAAAATTTGTAACTAATTTTACACGTCGTATGTTTTGTAATAGTCACTATTGGACTATCTTATATATAAATTCTCGTGTCACAATGTTAGTTACCATACTATCTATTTTTCATAGTGATAAGAGTCTTCCACCCCTCAGATTTTATTTTTATTTTGTGGGCAAGATATTTTATTTTTCTATAATGTAGCATTAAAAAAATACATACAACCCTACATTTTCACCCTTCTTCCTCCTATTTTTATGGCGGTACGAAGTTCGCTGGGTCAACTAGTTTTATCTATAAAAGGTTCTGAAACACCCCTGTGTCATCCTGTGTACTTTGATACAATAATTAACAGGTAAAATAAAATATTCTAAGTACGAACTTTTTGGTAATCCAGGTAACTATATAGTATCTATACTATAATAATAATAATATCTACTATATAAAAATAAGTCGGGTTTTCCTTCCTGACGCTATAACTCGGGCTCCGTGAGGTTTATAGCAAAGAAAATTTAGGAAAAATTAAAAAAAAAACTTCTTTTAATCACCAAACGAAATGTTACATAAAACGAAGCCATCTGGTGGCGAAACGGAGTTCGCCGGGTTTGCTAGTCTAATATATAAAATTCTCGTGTCGCGGTGTTTGTGGTTAAACTCCTCCGAAACGGCTCGACCGATTTTCGTGAAATTTTATATGCATATTCAGTAGGTCTGAGAATCGGATGTAATCTATTTTTCATCCCCCTAAATGTTAAGGGTAATCCACCCCTAATTTTTTTTTTCAATTTTAGATATATATTTTTTTATGATACATCATAAAAAAATACATACATCCCTAAATTTTCAACTTTCTAACCCCTATTTTTTATGGCGGTACGAAGTACGCTGGGTCAGCTAGTAATATTATAAAGAGGAAAGATTTGATTGTTTGCTTGTTTGTTTGTATTGAATA